TCTCCAATTAGCCACTTCAAACCACAAGTGGAGCTGTGGCTCAAAGTGGTAGAGCGCTAGCCTTGAGCAAAAGAGCTCAGGCACAGTGCCCAGGTCTTGAGTTCAAGCCCTATGGCTGAAAACAAAACAAAACAAAAGTCAGAAGTGGAGATATGGCCTCAAGTGAGAGGGAGAAATGTGGAATTCAAGCTCCAGTATGAGCACAAAAAAGATCCTGAATTAAAAACAAACAGACAAAAATGCATGAAAGACAGAGCGGGCACTCTGCATTCTGCACGGGGGCAAGTGGCTTAGAGTACTAAATTAACCTCGGACTTCCGGTTTGTCTTCTAAAGTGGGTGCCTCTCACAACAGGAAAGTGTGTGGGCATTGAAAATTGCACTCCACGTCACCGTCACAGCCCAAATTAGCATGTAGTCATCTGCAAGAAACATCTGGGAACCAGACAAAATAACCCAACCTAAAACTTCAACACTTTTGAAGACCAGGATAAAAATGTTGTTATTATTATTTTCTTAACCTCCCACATCAGCTCTTTTCTACACGATACGCTTCTAGTGTTGTTGAGACAGGTTTCTTAGGTTTTTGTTCCATGAGTTGGAGTACTGGCAATTGCTAGGGGCAAATTCAGACTTAAGAGCTCAGCTCTGTTTGCCCCAAGAAAAGGAAAAAACAGAGCTGCAGAGCCCATAAAGATTATAAACATGCTTCTTACACTATTGCTGTGCTGCTGTTTATAGAGAGAACTCACTTTAAGACTTTAACAAGCCTCCAAACTTCATTATTTTGCTCTCTCCCTCCTAGAACAAAGCACAGCTGTTCTGGCATGTTGGATTATGAAAATTTTTAGAAGCAGCAAAGTGTGGGCAGGGAACAAGAACCTTAGGTAGGTGAAGTGGTTCTTCAATGTTCACAAAAGAAGGTAAAAAAATAGCTAGAGATTTTTGAGTTTAATCAAAATTTCCTGGTGCTATGGTGAGAATAAACCAGAGCACTAGTTAGTGATACTGTGTCTCAATAAAAAAAGTTTGTATGGAATTCTTTCTTTGTATGGAATTCTTTTGTGCCAGTCCTAGGGCTTGAACTTAGGACCTTGGCACTGTCCCTGTTTTTCTGTTCATGGCTAGAGCTCTACTATGTAAGTCACAGTTCCAGTTCTAGCTTTTTGGTGGTTAATTGGAAACAAGAGTCTAATGGACTTTCTTGTCCAGGCTAGTTTTAAACTATGATCCTCAGACTCTCAGATTTCCATATACATTTTTATATATATGTATATATAAAATTATATGTGTGTATATAATATATATATATTATATATATATATTACTTCTTGTAGTAGTACTAGTACAACCTAGTCTGTAATTCTAGCACTTGGGATACTGAAGACTCATAAGCTGAAGGCCAGTATGGACTACTATATAATATAGTAAGATGTTGTCTGGGTGAAAACAAGAAAAAATTAGCTGGGCAATGGTGGCTCATACCTGTAATCCTAGGGGATCTTAGTTTGACGCCAGCCCCATCAAGAAGGTCTTTGACTTCATTTCTTTTATTTTTTTTAATTGTAAAGATGATGTACAGAAGGGTTACAGTTACATGAGTAAGGCAATGAGACCATTTCTTGTCAAGCACTATTAGCCCTTCCCTTGTTCACCCACTCTTAAGACTTTATTTCTAACCAGCAAAATTCTGGACTGGGACGGTGGGTCAAGTTGTAGAGCACCAATCTTAAGAAGTCAAATGTGAGAGAAAAGCCTTGAATTCAAGTTCTAGGTGGGGGGGGAGGGGCAGGGAAATGGGTGGGGAGAGAGAGAAGATAGTTGAAAGATGCTCATGTAATGAATAGCAGAATCTAGTCCTTTCTTGGGGGAGGAGGTCAGTCATGAGCCTGAACTCAAGGCCTGGGCACTGTGCCTGAGCTCTTTTGCTCAAGGCTAGCACTCTACCACTTTGAACCACTTGTCATCATGGGGCTTGAATTCTGGGCCTGGGTGCTGTCCCTGAGCTCTTTAGCTCAAGGCAAACGCTCTACCTCTTGAGCCACAGCACCACTTCTGATTTTCTGGTGGTTAATTGGAGTCTCAAGGACTTTCCTGCCTGGGCTGCCTTTGAACTGCAACCCTCAGCTCTCCAGCCTCCTGAGTAGCTAGGATAACAGGCATGAGCCACCAGTGCCTTGCTTAATAGCAGGATTTTGACAAAACTATTTCTTTAGGGGTAAAGGATAAAAGGGGGAACAATCTTACTGTTTAGTTTCACTATTCTTTGCATCTTATTTTTAGTAGCTTTGTTTTTGAAATGATTTTCCTTAACTTTTTGCACTTCCTGGCAGAGAACTGATCCTCTTATCTGTCTCCTGCCTTGTATCTGAGTTTACAGGCATATGCATCATACCTAATCTGCTGTGCTAATGCTGGTGATCTAACTCGTGCATGCTGATAAGTACACAATCACGATGGCACTGAGCTGTGTCCCAGTCCACAAACATCTATACACCTTCATAGACATATAGACATACTTCTGCAATATTGTGAGAACCTTGGGAAAGATCGAAAAATGTTTAGGTTGGTTCCTATGGCTTTCTGAAAGTTGAATTTACTCCCTTATGCAGACATTTGATAACCTCTTCCTTTCATTTTATTAAGTAATCACAATTTATGGTTTGTTATGATTCATACTTAAATCACCTTTCCATTCGAGATGTATACAGATACATAGAGTAGGAAAGAGACACTAATCTGTCCAAGAATAGACTAACACGACTCATTATTCATTTAAAATTAAAGAAGCAGCCAAGTACCTGTGGCTCAAAGGAGCAGATATTGGGAGAACTTGGGTTTGAAGCCAACATAGGCAAGTTTTCAAGACCCAGTCTCAACTAATACCTGGGTGCATAGTACTTGTCTCAGTATAAAATATAAGCATTAACTGTCCAAGCCCTCCTGGGCCAAAACCAAAACCAAAACCAGCACAAAAGGGCTTGAGTTTTGTGTTAAGGTGGCAAAGTGCAGCAAGCATGAACCCCTATGTTAAAACCTCATTATTGCCATGCATGTGACCTACACTAAACTACTTTGGAACTTCTTTAATATTTCTAATAACTGAACAGGTCTACATAGCACAAGCTGGTCTTGAACTCACAGTCATCTTGTTTCAGTCTAAACGCTGGGTTGCAGAAGTGAGAAATATCTCAAGTGATTGAAATGATGACAATTTTAAACAATTGCTTAGAATTACTGTATTGATTGTTGGATCTTTTCCTTGAATGCTAAAATTTTTTAAATTACAGAGCCAGGCTTTGAGACACATGGTTGAAATGCCAGTATTTGGAATGTTTACAATGCTCCACAGAACATTATAAGAATCTCTCTCTCTCTTTTTTTTTTTTTGCTGGGGGCGGTCACAACTGTGTGACACTATCCCTGAGCTTTTTGCTCAAGGCTAGTCTTTACCACTTTGAGCCAAGCTCCACTTCCAGTTTTCTGTGGTTAAGTGTCACAGATCTTCCTGCCTGAACCCTGGTCCTCAGATCTCAGCCTCCTGACTAGCTAGGATTATAGATGGGAGCCACCAAGACCCCGGCAAAGAATCCTTTTAAAATCCCTGAAATTGTGAATCTTACTTGCACAAATTATTGTAGCCATGAGAAATAATCTGACAATTTTGAATAGATGTATCTAACAAAAAAATAAGAATACAGTATATATTTATACTAAATTAAAACTTTATTGAATAAAGAACACTCTCCAGAACACATGATCTGATGGACTAGGTCTACATTACATGCAATGAAGCTGAACCTGACAGTAGTTTAACATGGAATGTCAAACAAATTAGTATTTTTCATTGTACAAAACCATTTATGTAGCTGACGTGAAATGTATGATACTCAGCATTCCCCCAATCACCTGTGATGAGTTTTTAAAAAGGCATTTGAAGATCAACTAGATGTCTTTTAGCACAGAGTTGAAATAAATTAGTTACATGTGTACGACTGAAATCTCTTTCAACCTCTCTTGCATTCCAAATAAAACCTTAGTGCAAACATCAAAGCTGCTGGTCATTCCAAACACCTGTCAAATCCAAATATGATTTCTGAATTAATGTGTATTAAGTAAGAAAAAAAAAAAAAAAAAAAAAACCAAGAACATCAGTTACTGCAAAACTCATTTAGGCAAACTCTACAGTCCACACTACGCATTTCTCCTAAATCTCTCACATTAATGACTAAAGCCTGTTTACAGTACTAAAATTCTATCATTCAAGCATCAATGATTATATTTCAGAAGAGAAAAATCATTTGTTTCAGTAATAGCATTACTGCTACATTCTAAAAAAAAAAAGGAAAAAATCATAATGAACAAACTCAGTACCCACAATAGGATACATGGAAGAAATCATTTTAAGGAAAAAAAAATGTGCTCTACTTGCACAGCAGGAATTATATAATGTAAACACCATATTGGCCCACACCACAAAATCCATGAGAAAGGCTTGACTTTGAACATTGTGTGTGCATTACTTTCAAATTTGTGTTTGTGAGTTTATATTGCATTTGCTTGTACCAATACCTTGACAAATAGAAACACACTCTTTCTCATACAGACACATGCAAGTGATTGAACTATGAAGCATGGCTTGTTTCCCTGACACTAATGCAAATAATGGTAGATGACATCCCAGCTATTATAAAAAAAAAATGTACACAGAAAGCACTCGATGAATGTGAGTCCTGGTTGAGGAACGATGGGAAGGTGAGGGTAACATGATGAGGTGGATCAATTAAAGAATGGACACAGAACCGGCTGAGATGCACATGTATGGATAACCTTTTTCTGTGGGCCTTGTCTGAAGTTTTCATTGATACCAAGAATTAAAATACATAATGTGTATATATATAGTAGCGTTAAGTCCTTTGACACCTCTAGGGTCAGGCCTTCAATGTGCAAATTTTAACAATGGAATGTTTTGAGCAGGGACATAAGGACAACCATGTCTTTCTAGTTGAAAAATGGGATGTTTCAGGAAGTATTTATTATTCTTGAACAAAGTTCTTTCAGTTTCTTGGTAAAGCAAACATTTTAAAAGATCCATAGCCATAACACATCATCCACACATTCACATACACAGAGCCACTCTTAAGGGTGTGTGTTGGGGGAAGTAGGGGAAGATAAAGCCCTCACGAATATGGCTCTTAGCATTGGAACGTCTTTGAATCCACTACATTAAATACCAACCAGCAGGTATCTCCTTCATCCCCCCTTCCGTTTCCACTCACCTCTACTAGATATCCCACCCACCCTAGTGTATTCTATGTCTTTGTGTTTTGTGTGTGTGTGTGTGTTTGTTTGTTTCCGAGCCTTACTTCTAAGGCTTTGAGTACCACCTCCATTAGAACAAAAATGAACACCTAAGGTGCACACACTAACAGCACCTTTTTAATCCCTTCCACAAATTTGAGTGGAACCTTGATGCTCTCCAGCCTGCAACTAGATCTCCAGGTCATCAGGCCGGGGTCTGCTGCTGGTACGACTGCTGGGTCGGCTGGAAGGTCGCTGGTCTACAATGGCCAGGGGCTGCAGTTCCAGGGCAGCCGTAACTTTTTTAGAATTCTGGTTATCGTCGGGGAAATCGAAGGGCTGAGCGTGGGAGTTAGAGATGGTGCTTCCTGCCTGTCCCATCCGGTTTTGTTCTGCGCTGTAATTGGCCCAGTTTTGCTCGCTGGCTTGTTTGTTGTAATTGCGGCAAGAGGAATTGTTTCTGTCACCAGAAATCAGCTTGTAGCCGGGAGGAGACATAGGAGACAGAGGGGCGGTTGGGGAGGAGCAGCCATTAAAATAAGCGTATTTTGGAGATCCACAGTCCTTGGAGGGACTCAGCCTGCCGGCGTTAGGGTGGTAGGGGTCGTTCCTTCCCTTCACCCGATCCTTGACCCCCTTGAAGAACACGTAGAAGAGCTCGATGATGTTCAGGGCAAGGGACACCAGGGACACCACCAACATGAAGATGATGAAGATGGTTTTCTCCGTGGGGCGCGAGAGGAAGCAGTCCACCTGGTGTGGGCAGGGGTCTCTCTTGCAAGTGTAGACGGCACTCAAGCTGAAGCCGTAGATGTACCACTGGATGAGCAGGAAGGCCACCTCGAAGACGGACTTGAAGAGGATGCTGATGATGTAGGTGCGCAGCAGGCCCCCGCGCATCTTCACTTTGCCGTGCTCTTCAATGCCGTACTTGAACTTCTTGATTTCAATCTGCTTCAAGTGCATCTCCACGTTCATGCCATCCGTTTGGGCCACTTTGAGCTCCTCTTCTTTCTTGTTCAGTTTCTCTTCCTTTCGCATCACATAGAACACGTGAGCTAGATACAGCAGGGTCGGTACAGACACGAATATGATCTGCAGGACCCAGAAGCGCACATGAGAGATGGGGAAAGACTTGTCGTAGCACACGTTCTCACAGCCAGGCTGTTGCGTGTTGCATCGAAAGGCAGATTGCTCGTCGCCCCAAGCTGACTCAACTGCTGTCCCCAGAAGCAGAATTCGGAAAATGAAGAGGACAGACAGCCACACCTTCCCTCCAGCCGTGGAGTAGGCTTGGACCTTGTCCAGAAGTTTCCCTAGGGCGCTCCAGTCACCCATGTTGCCTGGGCACCTCCTGAGAAAACACAGAAAGCCAACTTATTGAGCACAGATCGCAAGTCAGCAGTTTCTCTTGGCTGACAAGTCAAACTATGACTATCATGGAATTCTGCTGCCTTATTTTCAATTCCTAGGTCTCATGCATTTTCTCCTTCCTTCCTTCCTTCCTCCCCTCCCCCTGGAACCCCATCCCCCTCCAAGCCAACACCACCTATCTAAAGGGTGAAAAGCAATCTTAGCTTGAAGACTGCTGAGTGTGTCGGAGGCATGCCTAAGCAAAACCCTGGTTGTGGTATTCACAACGCAGAGGTCTCAATCAAGACAGAGGCATAACTATGCAGGAACAGATTACGCACAGCCTTACCTCACAAATGATGATTATCATTTCATTCCTAATTTTACTCTGAAATGTTGCTACCATGGTACACCAGGTATATTTTGTACATACTCTACATTACATTATTTCTACTTTTGTTTTTTGTTATCTCCCTCCTGTATCATTTCCTTTTATTTGAGACAGAATCTTCCTATGTAGCCCAGTCTAGCCATGAATTCTGAAAGTAGCCCAAATGGACAAATTCTCAGTCCTGCCTTAATCTCTCAAATTCTGGGATTACAGTTGCCTTGATTAAAAAAAAAAAAAATCATTCCTGGCCTCTTTTGTCTTAAGCACTAATATTTATATTTCAACAGCTTGTACTCAAGTATGCCATTGAATACCATGTTCTCTGTATAGAACCCTCCTCTTAAATAAGCACTAAATATTTCAGTTCCCTTACTGGGCTTTGAGCCCTTGGCCTATGTATCCCAGTTAACTTCTTAAAACACTACATGTCTAGGACTCCATCATTGAGGATGAGAAAAGAGGTCTGTAAGATTGACAGTGATCTCAAAAAAGTTATTAAGTGAGTTTAATTTATTCCCTAATGGCCATTCATCCTTTTAAATGTTGGAGAGGGAGAAAGGGAGGGAGAGAGAGGGAGAGAGAAAGAGAGAGAGAGAGGGAGAGAGAGAGAAAGCTTAAAGACCAATTATTTTTGAAGCAAATCTTGGGATAGTGGTACATGCCTGTAATTCCAACACTGGGAGGACAATGCAGGAGATGGGTTGCCGAAGTTCCATCTACATAATGAACCTGTGTGTGAGTGTGTGTGTATGTGGTGTGTGTGTATTCCTATAATTCAGGAAAAACTAGTCTGGGGATGAAGATGAATAGTCAACATCAAACAGTTTGAGTGATATCAACACTTTATATATGATGATGTGTAAATCAGCCCTCATTCTGTTTGTAAGGCATCCAATAATAAGCTGTTTGCATACATCTCATCACATTCATGCAATAGTAGATCTCAAGACAAATTAAACGTATGATCAGACCCAACAGAAGCTGTCATTTAGTAAGGGCTTTCTTGTTTCTTAAAGTAAAAGATGATTGTGAAGATGCTTGTGGAGGTTCAATACTAAATGCGTCCCATTCTTGAAAATGAAATCGGACTTTCATGATTCCAAGAGTTTCCCATTCAATAGTGCCAGTGTGCAAAAACTGGGTCACTGGGAAGTTCTAAGTAGTATTTTTTAAAACACACTGGCAATTTAATTGCAATCCCACGCAGTAGTTATTTGCATTAATGAGTTATAGCCTTTCATCTGGATAAAACAGGAATTATCCAATTGGACAGATACCCTGCATCCTGCAGCATGTAGACACCTGTCATTACTACTGTCATAGATAAATAACAGTGTCAAATGTGATGGTTCATCTTGTGGCTCAAGAAAACGCAACAAAAACTTCTTACTGATAGCTGTTTGTTCACTTTGCCACGGACACCAAAAGTCCCAACAAGTGGTTCTTCTCTCCTTACATCCAGTCTAAAACTTTCATTCCTTGCTCCCCTGCCCATCTTAGTAGGGGAAACAATGGCCTTTCATATAAAGATAAGGAATCATGTTTTACAGAATCCCAGGCCTTGATTTATGGAGTACATATTGCATTCATATCCTTCACTTCTAGATTCCCAAAGGGGCCATGTGCAAAGTTCTCACGCAGAGCAGATTTAACAGCGGCTGGGTTGCCCTTCAGTTACTCCTGCATACCAGGTCAAACCATTTTCCTTTGTTCTCCCAGTGTGACCTGGCTTAGCACTCTTGGTCCTTCCCGGGTTTTTTTAGGTACCTCACACTCAGTTCCTAGCATTTGCTAACTCACATTCCTGGCCCTCCTCAGTCTCTATTTCTACAAGGTGGGGCCTGAGAAATAAGAGTTTTAATATTTTTGGTTACTTGTTTAAAGAAAAATCCCAGGTGGTTCTGAAGTAAGGTTTTAGGTCAGCAGGCAAACACTTGATTCCTCAGCACTTTTGGTGTTTTCCTGTTCCAAAGGCTTAGGAGTCCAGGAAATGTCAAGAGAGCAGAAAAGGCCAGAGCAGAGCATGTGAAAAGTCCACAAAGCTGAGCAAGAGCAACTACTCTGGGCACAGGGCACAGGGCACAGGGCACAGGGCGCAGGGACCCTCTTCTCTGCTACTATAAGATCTCTGGAGTAAAGCTCCAAATCAGAAGAAATCTCTTTAGGAAAAAGATGGAGAAACGAAGGTTAAATGAAGGTAAAATTATTTTTGGAAACTAAAGAGAGATTCGGTTCCCCCATCTTTTTATAATGGAAATGAAAGCAAGCAAAATTATTGTCGGAAGGGGCTGGGAAGGTGGCTCAGTGGTAGAGCTCTTGCCTTGCATGCCTGAGGCCCTGGGTTTGATTCTTCAGCACCACATAAGCAAAAAGAAAAAAGCCGGAAGTGGTGCTGTGGCTCAAGTGGTAGCACGCTAGCCTTGAGCTGAAGAGCTGAGGGACAGCACCCAGGCCCAGAGTTCAGGCCCCATGACCGGACCCCCCCCCAAAAAAAGTCAGAAATTAAAGTGGGTCATGGCTCCCCAATGTTTTATGATTGAAATTAGTGAAGACTTAAAGTCATTCATATCTGAAAGAATAAAACTATGCTTTCTAAAATGCCAGCATCAGTGGCTCATGCCTATAATCCTACTACTCAGGAGGCTGAGATCTGAGGAACAAAGTTCAAAGCCAGTCTGGGCAAGAAAGTCTGTGGGACTCTTTTGCCTAACTAACTAGCAAAAGGCTGGAAGTAGAGCTGAGGCTCAAGGGTCTGAGCTCTAGCTAGCCTTGATCAATCGTCTAGTGCCCAGGCTCTGAATCCATACCCCAGAATGGGCAGAAGAGAAAGAGAGAAAAAGAGTGAGAGGGAAAAGAAGGAAAAAAGGAAGGAAGGAAGGAAGGAAATCAGACTAGGAAGGAAGGAAGGAAGGAAGGAAGGAAGGAAGGAAGGAAGGAAGGAAGGAAGGAAATCAGACTACGACCCATTGCTGCCACCATCCTTGCTGTTGCCTGATTTCAGCCGTCATCACTATTTTGCTGCCCCAGTCCACTGGGCACCCAACTTGCTAACCTAGTTTTGAATCAGTTCTGTTCCTCCCACATGGCTTTCAGGCCTCACTACTTTAGCCAACTTTCCTGACCACCACGTATAAAACAGCAACATCCTTTTACCGGTCCTGACACTTCTTATTTCCCCTTGTCCTACTTTTTAAAACAACTCTCAGAGCTTATGATTTATCTGCAGTCCACTAGGGCTTATTGCTTACTATCTTGCTTTCTTCAGTCAGAATGTGAGCTCTGTGAGGGAGTTAGTTCTGTCCACTAGGACGTAAACCAAGTAAGAAATGCTGTGTAAATACTTGCTGAATGGATTTGCAACTAAGACTGTAACATTTTCAGATGACAATTACTCTAAGAGAGCACTGATTGTTGAAACAACACTTGACATCGTTCCTGACTAAGCAATAGGATTGAGTGAAGTAAAAAACGCATTCAAGAAAAGGCTTTTGTCATTTCTAAGATGCGGTCCTGGTGCTGCTAATTTTTCTTGTCCTGCACATTCTGACTGTAACACGTTTATTGCAGCCAAGGACACGACTGCAGAAAAACAGTTTAAAACTGTGTCCTTCAAGGACAAACAAGATGAGAAAATGGAAAGAAGGAAAAAAGGGGGACAAAGGTGAAGGAGGAGAAGGAGAGCTGGTGTTAACCCCAGTTAATAGAACATCTCCACACAATGTATACCCATACAGCAGGTAGCGATTTGAAACCTGGAGGGAAAAAAACACCCAAAACATTCCCTCTTCATTAGATAACACCCAACCTTTGCTTCTTTCTGCCCAGAGAGCTGAAGCTCAGCCTAGGTCTGTGGTCTATCAAATCTATTCTGCGTAAACATCTACTCTGTTTAAAGTCCTGCCTGATTAGTCTCAGATTCCGTGGTGAAGAGCTGACACACCTTTACATTCCTGAAGGTTTTTGATGAATTGCTGTTGTTGTTTTTTTTTCCCTCTCTCTCTCTCTCTCTCTCTCTCTCTCTCTCTCTCTCTCTCTCTCTCTCTCTCTCTCTCTCTTTAGGGGATAAGAATTGGGAAGTAAGATCAAAACACAAAACTAGGACACAAGAAAGCTTTCCTTTTCCTGGATCTCCTCAGTCATCATATGTGTACACCATTAGTTTCCACAGGCCAAGAAGAGAGGTATAGTGAAGGATGCTACTCCAAAAGGTGGTGACCGAAAGACAACTCAATTCCTCCACCAACCAAAGTTTGTTAGAGTAAACTTAGGGGTGCCACAGGAAAAACACTTAAGTCAGAAGCTGCAGACTAGAACATTTTTCAGCAGTGACTGGGGTTAACTTCAAAAGCTCCCTTAACTTCTAGCTTCCATTTGCATAGTACAGTCATTTGTAATCCTATAAACAAACACACCCAGTATGATGCTCAAACCCAAAGTGAATTGTTTAACAGTATTCTCCTTAATGCGCTCTGATTAAGAGAACTCTTGTATGTTGAGTGCAACAAAGTTCAGCTAAGATCTCTGGAAGTCAGGAGTCAGTAGCTCACAACTGTTAACACTAGCTACTCAGGACACTGAGATCTATCCGAGGATCAAAGTTTAAAGCCAGTTTAGGCAAGAAAGTCCATGAGACTCTTATCTCTTTAATTTACCACCAAATGGCCAGAAGAAGAGCTGTGATTCAAGGGGGTAGATCACCAGCCTTGAGTGAAAAAGCTAAGGGACAGCACCCAGGCACAGAGCTCAAGCCTCACAATGGGTACAAATAAATTTGTGGGGGAGGGGGAACCTACCCCATTTATTTAACATATCTCTTCTTTACCAAAACAGCAAGTGAAATGACTTAAAAACACATTTAAACCAAGCAAAGAATGCTTGATATAAACCCAGCTAGATGGTGAATTTAATAGACAGTCAAGTAAAGTGGATAGTTTAAGCAATTGAGGCTAACTTCTTATATAGCCAGGGCGGCCTTGACCTATATGACATTCTTCCAATTCCAGCTTCTTTCTGGCTAGGTTTAGAGGAGTATACCACCAGACCTGACTGGGTTGTTTTTCTTAACCTGTACTATCCTTATTGAAGGTTGTTGATATCCTTTCCCCTTTCCAGAGCTCAACTGCGTTCGCTTCCAACTCAGGCAATTCAAAGAGACTCTTGAAGGGAAGTCAAAATAACAGGTTTTAATCACTAGTGACTTTCCTTTATCATTCTCTTCCCTCAGGCATATAGTTTCTCAGGTTCTCACCAAGCTAAGCTACACTGTGGTAACCCACAAAATAGACTATCAGGAGCTCTCGTCTTTCTTTGTCAAGGTAGGAAGTGCAAACACCCAAGCAGCAACGTGACCATGGATGTCTAGATACTTGCTACAGGGTGTATTTCCTGAGGGAGAGTCACAATGGAAAGAGGGTGAAACTCTGTGGTGATAAACCTAAAATTTTGGGACATTTGAAATCTGTTTAGACAATGGTAGACAAAGGACAGGTGGCCCCTGTATGCGATTGTGAAGCACAAAACATTTTACCATCCGGGAACCACATTCCAACAATGCAGAATTCAACACAACACCAGGACAGAATGTGCCTGTGGTGACTGGTATAATGTTTTTTAAATTCAATTTGACCTGCCCCAAAGCACTAATTAATCTATCCCAATGGGTATTTTTCATGGAATTGGCACGCTTCATCCTTGGGAGTGTATACCTCTCATGAGATCTCCCTTTGCAAGACTTTATAGGCTTTTATTTTCAGCAGTTCTTGCATAAAAGTAAATAAATAAATAAACAATAAAAATCGAGCTTCTTCCCGGGAAATTCTGACAGTTTTAAAACTGTTTCAGCGGGAGAGATTCAGCGTCTTTCTCGGTATTACTAACTTGGTTTGGGCGCAAAGGAAATTAACTCCCATCTCTGAATAAAGCCAAGGGTTCCCCCTCCCTGCACCTTAGTTCTCTTCTGACCCCACTTTTTGTACAACTGTGGGGGTGGTGGTGGTAAAGGGAAGCCCTTCTGGGAGAGGGAAACTGAGTCTGACACGAGTCAAGGAGAGATCGTCGCAGAACCTGATCCACCCGCAGCCCGGCCTGCGTGCGGTGGATCCCAGGACCCAGGGTGCCGAGTCGCAGCCAGGAACTCCGGGTCTGAGTTTTCCAGTCGTGCACGGATTCGCTCCAGGACACGTTTCAGGGTCTTCCTTCCTCCTCCACCCCCGCCTAGTTTTAAGAACTTCCAGAAACGTTACAAGTGCAATCTAGCAGCAAGCACCACAACTCCAAGGTGTTCAGACTCCCTTCCCCGGGGTCCCGCGGGGCGATCGGGAAGAAAATGAGCAGAGAAAGCACCAAGGGGAGGGGAGAGGGGAGAGGGACCGGGCCGGGGGGTGGGGGAGATTGGCAGCTTTAGTTACATCCATCACAGTAGGTCCCACCGTTTGGCCTCGCCCCTGCCGGCTTCCCTGCGGAGGCCAGTCGGGGACCGGGGCGGATTTGGAGTGGGGGGGGGGGAGGGAAGGGAGGTAGGCAGCTGCAGCCCCGAGGCTGGGGCCGCCCGGGGCCCGGGAGGAGGTGGCTAAGATGGCAGGAGGCGCCCCGTCGAGCTCTCATTTTAATTCTCCTGCTAGAGTTCTCGGGGTGCCGAGCCTTCCGACTCCGGGGGGAAGGGGGGGGGGGTCACAGCAAGCAATCCAGTCCGCGGAGAGAGACCCGATTTCTACGGGACCCTGGTCGTGCACGGCTGCGCGGGTGGTTCACACCATCAGTGGCCACCCCCCCCCCCAAACAGACCAAAACGCAACCAAGATCCCCTAACAAAAGCGAACCCTTCTTAAACAGCACAGACTAGTGGAAAAATCCTCGAACGAGCCGTCCTGCCCCCGGGCGCGCCGAGCCCGGCGCAGGGTGCTACAGGTTCGGACGGCCCGGCCAGTTGGATGGGGGGGTGGGGGTTGGGAGATGGTCGCGGCTTAAGCTAGGCGTACATTTCTTTTCCCTCTCCTTTCTAGGAGCTGGCCTTTTAGGAGATGGTTTGGGGGGACGCATCCTAAACGCCTGCTCTTCCCCCCCACCCCCTTCCCCAGCACCCCCAAGTAACCGCCCACCACCCTCCTCGGCTCCCTCGGCCCCCAGGCTGGCCAACGTGGAGTCCCAAGCCGGACAGCTGAGGCTCGGAGCCCGGAGCCCCCTCCGCGCGCCCGGGGAGGGAGACGGGCGGAGAAGGGGACCACGTGGACGTCAGCGAGCCGCACGCTGTAACAAAGCGCTCGCTTACAAAAGAAGTTTGCTTTTCAAGGCTGCGGACATCCATCAAGTTTTCCGCGAGAGAAAGCACCGAGGGTCCAACACGAGAGGAAAGCACGCTAGGCAGATTTGCACTTGGAAGTCTTTCTCTTTGCTTTTTCTGTAAAGTCAATCAGACCTCCAAGCCAGGTCCCCACATTCCTCCCTCGCACCCCACATCCCCGGCCCACCCCAACCGTGAGGACCACCGACCCTCATTCCTGCTCCCCAGGAGGTAAGCACAACCACGCTCCCAGACCGAGAACCCAAACCCCACAGCGGAGTCTCTTCTGAGAATCGGCAAGGTTAGAACCTTTTACCTGTTGCATCACCACCAAAAACACTTAAAAAGAAATCAAAATGGAAATTCCAGTCTTCCCCTGGAACCCCCAGAGCCCCCCAAGTTTGCTGCCTGTACACTCAAAAGCCCAAGTTAACGTGGAGTTACATGTGTTAAAGCCAAGGAGAGAAAATTGGGACTTGAAGAAAAAGAAACGAGTAGGTAAAGGAGGGTTTAAAACACTTACTCTCTCACTTAAAAGGAGTGAAGCGGGCGCGCCAAGCCGTGGAACTCCTGGGTGGATGAGATACCAGAGGAAACGCAAGTTCAGACACTCGGACCTGTCTATTTAAAGTTTAAAAGTCTGCTGCCGTTTGGTGCTTTCCTCACGCCTTCCCCCTAATGAAAGAAAAGTGCTGATACCTCGTAAAAAAAAAAAAAAAAGTTTTTTTCTAACTTGGAGCACTGAGCTTTTAAAAGTTTCAAGCCACTGACTCAAGTGGAAGGAGGGGCTAGGAGAAAGGGGAGGGAAGAAGGCGAGGCGGGGAGGAGGCCGGGGAGCCAGGGGCGGGAGAGGAGGCCAGAGCTGAGCAACCAGGTCACCATAAAGCAGTTTCAATTTGCTGGGGAGAAATAGATACACATATACATAGATGTTTACATATACGCATATATATGTATAGATACGTAGCATTAGAAACATGGACAGCCCTACCGATTCAAACCTGCTAGTTTTAGTCTGGCCAAAAGACCAAGACAAAACTATGTATTTTAGACGAGTTTGTTTTCTTACATTTAATACATTAAAAATGGAGGAGAATAGCCAGGAGGAAATTATTCCCGGAGCAGGGGGTGTGAAGGTTGAGGTGGGTGACAGGCTGGACAAATATCAAAGGCCTGAAGTGCCTTCAAAGACACACGTGTGTGGGGGGGTAGATCGCTACCCAAGCCAGCCTCCTATTTCTTGACTTGTTTGCCTTTTTGACTCTTTCTGGTTAACAAAAAGGACCTCAATAGGATAGACTATGTGTCTTCTATTACAGACATCCTCTGTGTAATGTTTTGACTAGGAAGTGTGGGCCTGTACAAAATCTATTGGGAACTGAGAATTTATATATCTCAGCCTGGCTAGTCTGGCTCAGCACCCTAACATTTCAATCTGCAGTGAGATGTCAAGCTTTAAAAAAGGAAATCAAATGCAGACCCTACTGGTCAACTTATGTGGAGGTGGAATTAAGTGAGACTCAAAACCCTTCCCCCTCCTTAACATCTCCCCCACCCCTAGCTCCTGGCTAGAGTTCTGGGGAAAGGCATTGTAAGCTTCCCTGACTCTGTCTCCTGGACTCTGCATTAGAGTTTAGAATGGCTGCGTCCTGTGGCCTGTTTTTAGAATGGGCAGCTTGTTTGCCGACTCCAGGTCACCCCTGCAAAAAAGTCTGAGGCTGGACCACTCCCCAATAATTTTACTGAATTGAGGGCATTGTTCTCTAAAACCAAAGCAAACTCATCTGGACTTAAAATGACTTGGTCTCACTCATACTAATATCAGAAAAAAAAAGAATGGCAAACATTTCCTAGTAATATTTTCCCTAAGTATAGGGAAATATATAAATATAAAAAATATAAATATAGGGAAATAACTAGTAGGTCATCTTTCAAATGTACTTTTGAGGCACAATCTTACTCTTATTTTGGGTTATCTGTACTCCCAAGGGTATGTTTCTCTTTCTGTTAAGGAAGGAGAAAAACAATGTGATACAATGTTATAAATTGTAATCTACTAAGTCTGACAGGATCAGCAACCCACTGTTTTAGACTTGTATTTATGCTGTCTTTACTTCAAATTAATCTATTATTTGGTCTTTACTATAAATTATTTCATACAATTTGGAAGCCATTCCTGAGAAACAGGATTTTTACTATAAGAAAATATTCTCTTCATTTTTAACATAAAATTATCTTTCTTTTTGGCAGTAAAAAAGGAAAAGAAAATAAAAAAAAAAGGTTGTTTATAGCATCATTCAAAAAATACACTCACAAATCCAATAAAAGGAGGCAAAAAAAAAAATCAATACCCTAAATGCTATAAAACTCTGTTTGTGTGTGTGTGTGTGTGTGTGTTGTTAGTCCTGGGGCTTGACCTCAGGGCCTGGCCTAGGCATTGCCCCTGAGCTTCATTTGCTCAAGGCTTACACTCTACCACTTCCACTTTTTACTGTTTTTGTGGTATTGAGGAATCAAACTGAGGAATCAAATCAATCAAGCATGCAAAGCAAGCACTCTACCACAAAGCCACATCCCCAGCCCTATGAAACAATCTTGATAGAACTTAAAGACCTACATAAATAGAAAGATAATATTTTGAAGAATTCACTGTTATTAAGGTACTAGTATTCCCACATCCACCTATATATCTGCATAATACCAATGAAAATTTCAAAAAGACTATATTTGGAGATATGTATGTATATATATATATATATATACATATATGTGTATATGTTTTAAAAATATTCAACATAATCTTTCTTAGGAAGCTTGTCTCCAGAGGAACATTCTACAGTTGTGCGATGAACTTTTAAAAAATGTGTTTTCTCATCATCTCAGAAATGTGAATACTTACCCTATCATTCCTGACGATAAATATTGACTTTACAGACAGCACCTTCTCTGATTGCCAGGCCCTGACTAGGAAGGTTTGCTTTGAGGAAGGAGGGACGGTCATTTACAGCCTCCTACAGGTCTTCCTGAGAATCCATCAGGGTCAGGCCTTCATCTCTTTTATCCATGTTGTTATGTACTTTGAGCAGTGCACAAAGAGTAGACTGCTTTTCAAAATTCTGAGCACTAATAGAAACCTAATTGAATTAAACCAAAATAAAATCCCCTGTGTTTCAAAATTCCAGAAGTTGGATGCTTGTAGTTATATTTAAAGATATTAAATTCCTACTTTACACAAACCCTGCTAGAGTGAGTATTCTTTTTTCAATGAATAATATAAATACTTTAAAAAATGGTGTCAAAAGGGGTACAGTGGTGTATGCCTGTGGTTTGGGTTACTTGGTGGTGGTGTTTTTTTTGGTCTGGTTGTGGGGCCTGAACTCTGGGCCTGAGCACTATCCCTCAGCTCTTCAGCTCAAGGCTAGTGCCCTACCACTTAAGCCACAGCGCCACTTCCGCTTTTTTCTTTTTGCTTATGTGGTGCTGAGGAATCGAACCCAGGGCCTCAGGCATGAAAGGCAAGCGCTCTACCACTGAGCCAACTTCCCAGCCCCAGGCCTGGGGGACTTGGGAGTTGAGACAGAAGCATCATTTGAGTCCAGCTGTTTGCAGCCAGCCTGGGAAATTGTAGTAGTGAGGTCTTAAAAGAAAAAGTGATTGTAGATTAGAGGATGGAAAAAAGACTGTTGTAATGGAAGAAAAGGGAGGGGTATTCAATTGAGTTAGAAGGCTAGCAGGAAGGAAAGGAAAGTAGAATGACCAGCACTTGATGACAGGCTGAATGGGCAGATGAGAACAAAGAGGATGTGGAAACTGGAATTTTAACTGGCAAAATACACTGACACACACAGAAAAAGGAAGTTAGAGGAAGGAATAATCTGCTGAATGAATAGGATGATTTCAGTTTGATTTTCTTGGATTGAAGAACAGAAATACCTAGGTAAAGCTACCTGACTTGCATTTAAACCACAGACAGTGGACTTCGGGTTAAAACAAAGGAGGAGGCTACAATGCTTGATAAGAAATGTACTCATTATCTTGTCCATGTAATTGTAACTCCTTTGTATGGTATTTTCACAATAAAAAAAAAAACAACCTGAAGATTTATGACACAACTCAGATAAATGATTGTTAAAGCTATAGGTACAAATAAGATTACTGAAGAAAAGAGGCAGAGCAGGGTGCCCCAAAGACAAAACCCTGAGCTTTATTGGATTGCCTTATTTCACCAGGCAAAGAGAAAGAATGCCGAAAGAGGGAAGGCCATGTCCAGAAAGGGAAGGGAGTGTATCATGATTAGAAAGAAGTCTGATTTATAAGAAAACGATCACTTGTTCTAAGGAGCAATGGCCAGTTGACTCTGAAAGGAGAGTTAGGTCTCTTTTAAAGCAGAGTGATTGGAGTCTGTGAAGAAAAGGAAGCATAGGTCTGGAGTAGAAGGAAACTACCATTTGGGGGTAGTTTCTCCTAGTGGTTGAGCTCATCATGTGACAGAGAAGAATTGAGGCTAAGCAAAACTACCGTTTGGAGGTAGATTCTCCTAGTGGTTGAGCTGTCATGTGATAGAGAAGAATTGAGGCAATGCAGTATCTCGGGAAGATACAGAACTGTCGAAGAATAGAAAGATTATCTTAGATCTCAGGTCCAGCTTGATTTTATAAATAGATAAGATGGAAATCTTTTTTTTTTTTTTTTCTTTTGAGACTGAGTCTCTGCCTTGTACTTCAAGCTAGCCTAGAACTCAGGATCTTGAGATTCCAGCCTGCGGGGGTAGGGGTGGGTGGGTGGTGGTGGTGGTGGTAAGGGTGGGCTACCAGTCCTCTCTGTTAGCATCAGAATGATTCTTTCTGGGAGCAAATTTCAATTTTAACTAGTACTTATTGATCAGTCAAGAAGGAGTAATGAAAGTGAGCTTGGAGCTCAGTTAATGTGGAAGTTTTGATGGGTTTTACCTAAGTTGGTCAGACCAGCAGAAGTGTTTCACTATTACTGTTGGCCTTTGGCTGGCCACAGTTCTTTCAGAACAGTTAAGAATTCCCCTGCTATTGCAAACTATTATGACAATGTGTTTTCAACTCAGATGAAGTCTAATTTTCTTCTTGAAAGTGATTTGAGGATCAATGCTTGACTTCACCTGGGGAAAATCTTAACAAACTTTTATACCCTGTATTTATCTCCAAGGGACACTCCATGAAAAATTATACAACAAAAGCAACAACAACATGCGCTTGTAAAGGAAAACACTTAATTTTGCTTTCCTGGACTTTGTTTTGTTGGATGGGAACGAACCTGCCTGGGGATATGTGGATAAATATGTCTTTGGCTCCACCTTCTGGACGGAGTGAAAATAAGCGTTGTGAAAAGAGGTAAAAATAAATGACTATTTCATCTCTTTATGTGAAGTTTGCTTAATTTTTGTTATGGTCACTTGTGAATGGTTACATTTATTTACATTCTTCATATCTCAGGAATTATGTTAGCTACAAGTAAGGACATTTTTTGTTATCTAGTGGAAAATCAGTATTGGGGTTGACTTTGATTTTGAACTTACAAATTTTAACAGAATCTTGAGAGAAAACTTGTTTTTAAGACATGGTGTGTGCTCTTTTTCTCTATGATTCCATAGTGGGGCACTGTTATGAAGAATCCAGTGAGTTAGTCTGCCATAGAGACAGAGATAAAGGTTTGGAATCTGAAACTCTTCAT